TTTCTTCCATTTATCCAAGTAGAGTGTATTTCCTCTGCACTTACAGCCACTAGAGACAGTTGCATCCCAGTGGCATCTGATACCACCTGGAAGTAGAACTCTGTAATGTTTCTGCTAGTTATATATACACATGATATTGTGACCCAGAAATAATGTTCTCTCTTATTTTTGGTCTATTGCATAGAGCACAATCTTAATAAATCATGGTCCTTGAAGGTCACAGAATACCCAAGTTTTAATGACAGTATTTCACATAGCATTGTGTTACAGCCATTCAGACTTGAGGTCACAGCCTCTGGTTATCCCCATGACCATCAGTCATCAGTAAGATAATGACTTCTCTTCCTTTTGAGATGAAGAAACTCAGATTTACAGTGGTAAAGTGGATAAGGACTAACTTAATTCAATAGCATCTATGGTGTCTTGTGGGCTCAGATTTTTCACAACCTACTTTAGTAAGGGTTCTTAAATGCTTTAACTTCCCTTCTAGCCCACCATCCACCAGAGGTAGTGGAAAGTTTGGTTAAAAGTGTGAAAGGGGTTGTGGACCTCTTTAGAAATAGCTCTTTTGGGCAATTCCAGTCTTCATTGTCAGTATATAATCAGCAGTGGTAGCTCGATCAACTTGCAAACACCGCTCACAAATCAGCAACAGCAGTTCGATCCAGAAGAAAACTGTGAGACTCTGTTAATTGGCCTTAGTCCAAGTAGAATCAGCAAGAAGCCACCAGAACACCACCAGAAGTTCTTTCATGCCTTTCTTTCTATGATGTCATGACAAAGGAGGATCAGCAAAGAAGGCAAGGTGAACCAATGTCACAGCATTGCCAGTGAAGACCAGCATCGGCAAAGCCCAATGTCGGCAAAGCCCAATGAAGATCAACAAAGAGTGGCAAAGAGAGCTATCTGTTGAGTTATACTTATATCTTCTCCAGACATCATATGTCCTCTCTAACAAAACAACACATGCTATTTGTCTAGGTAGCTTGCAGAAAAACATCATGCTTCTATTCTCAGTAAAACATCCTCCCATGTGTTTGCTTCAGCAAAATATCCTCTTATAAGACAGTTTCCATAAAAATATCATGTGACACAACTGAGCCTCCAAAGAAATCAGGAATTTCTACTTCAGTGCCCCCTAACCAGTTTAATCTCTAGTTGCTGATGCTATCATAATGTAGACCATTAGCAGGTCATGTTCTCTGAGGGTCAAGTATGTGCTAGGAACTATAACAAATCCTCATTTTTTTTATACTACAACATTACAAAATATGAATTCCAAGTTCCATGAAATAAATGGCACAAACAGGCTTGAAGAGATACAGGTTATAAATTATTATAATGTTAGCAAGTCAGGAATCCAATGTGAGTGCTTTGTGATCCAGGTTCTACAATACAGCAAAATAGCCCATTTGTTGGTAAATTTTATTAATGTATAGTGACCATACATACCTATCAGATCCAGCATGATAGTTTAGCACATGGGCACAGTGTGTAATGATTACACAGAGATTCTTGTTACGTGCTTGTTCTTGAGTGCTTGTGATTTCTAGACTCTTTCACCTGGCTGCTTCGAGTTTACAATTAGTGACAACTACAGTTGTCATTGGTGCTCAGAACATCAGAATCCATTCCTCCTAAACTGCCTTACCCCTATACTCACTGACTATCCACCCTCAGTTCTCCTCCTGGGCTGCGACAGCCCCAGTGACCTCTCCTTTGCCTCTGCTGTTACTTGGGTAGCTTCTATGTGAAACTGAGAACACACCATGTTTCTTTCTCTGTGTTGACTTATTTAATAGGAGTTCAACACATGTAGCTGACATAATTCCACTCTTTTTATAGTTGAATACTATTCCACTGTGTATATAAACCACGGTATATTTATCTATTTTTCTACTGATGGGAGGAAATTTTAAATACTTACCTTAGTGTTCAGTACAAAAAGAACACATATGTTACATTATACTCACATCTTTTTCTTGTAGTCAGTAAGCACATGAATTACACATTCTGGTGTCTACAACTATCTCCCTCCTCCTTTTCTTTGTTCCTTTTTCTTTTCTCTTCCTTCCTTCCTCCCTCCCTTCTTTTCTCCTTCCCTTCCCTTCCCTTCCCTTCCCTTCCCTTCCCTTCCCTTCCCTTCCCTTCCCTTCCCTTTCCTTTCTTTTCTTGTCAGTGTGCCATGGTGCCTGCCTATAACTTCAGTACTTGGGAAACTAAAGCACAAGAATAACTAAGTTCAGGGCCACCTTAGACTTCATAATGAGTTCATTGCAAATCTGTGATATATGTAAGACCTTGTCTCCAAAAAGAAAATCAGTTGGCTGAAGAACTGTAACAAATAGTAGTTAGTCACATCTATCTTTTGTTAAAGGCTGTAAGTGCCTTTTTTGAGATAGATCTCATCATGAACACTGTATGCAAACATTTGCCTGCTATTGAGCATTACTGTGCCCTAAATGCTTCAAAAAAAGAGATCTCTTTGGACATTGGTATAATTTCAACTATCATCTTAGCAACTCCCTCTCTGTTCTCACTATAAGACTGTGTGCAAATTATAAAACTGAGTATCTAGCATCTCCTGGGAGAGGACTCTGAGGGAACCAAGGCTTCAGTACAGAAGAACAAGACTATGACACCCGGGGTTACTAGAGGACGGAAGGAGAGGGCATTACATAAGTGTTTCTGGAAGCCTGGAGAACAGGGGTATGCTATGAGTGTCTCTAGAGGACACTGGGAAAAGGGCAGAGGGCGGTTGCTCCAGCATGATGTAGTAGTAGTAAGTAGTCTTCAGGGCTCAAAAAAAACTTTGTCACCACAAGAATACTGGAGAGAGTCGAAAGCTGACTGGGCATGCTCCTTGAAACAAACTGCAGATCGGCTTCCCTGGTTTTGAACACTGTGACCCAATGTGTATGCAGCAAACATATTTTCTTCTCTGTTTGCTTTTCCCCTTAGTTAAGTAGGAGGGAAAAACTCACAGCCTTTGCTTTGATGGCCCATGGAAGAGGAATGGCTGTGGTGGGGGAGCATCCTCTCAAAGGCAAAGGGGAGTGGTTATGGGTTGAAGAGCTCCTGAAGGGGGATCACGAGGGGGCAACATTTGCAGTGTACATAAATAAAATAATTAATTAAAAATAATCCGAAGTAAAAACATTAAAATAAAAATAAAATGTATACTATAAAATAGCAACATAATAGAAAAGAGAATTCTTTATATATCTTTCTCCTTTTAAAGGTATAAAGGGAGACATTTCTGAACTATGTACAAATTCAGGGAGTAAGTGTCTTTTGATAATATTTCAATTCATTGCTCCTAAATCATCAGTGATCTTTATTTTTTACTTCCTTACTTGACGTAAAGAACTAATGTGTCTGCAATCCTTGAATCACCATCTAAATTATACCCATGGGATCAGTGACCAATCACGTTTCCTTTCTCAGGCTGAGGTATAAGTGTTGTGTCACCTCCACGCTGGTAACTAGCCTGTACAAACATGCATGTTCAAGAAACAGATTAGTATGGTAATCTAGCCCCACCCTATCCCGCTGTACCCCACCCCACACAGCACAGGAAAGGACTATGTTAGCAAATCAATGCATGAGATGAAATGAAGGCAGATGTTGATGAGATTCTTCTTCTCCTTCTATTCCTGTTATTCTTAGGTTTGGTCTTTGCATGGTATCCCAGATTTCCTGTATGATTATTTGTCATGAATGTTTTAGATCTAATATTTTTTGACCAATGTGTCAATCCCTTCTATTATATCTTACAAGCCTGAGATTCTCTCTTCCATCTCTTGTATTCTGTTGGTGATACTTGTGTCTATAGTTCTAATTTGCTTACCTAGATTTTCTATCTCCAGAGTCCCCTCAGTTTGTGTTTTCTTCATTGCTTCTATTTCTATTTTTGTGGATTGAACCATTTTATTAATTTCCTTCACCTGTTTGACTGTATCTTCCTGTATTTTTTTTAAGGGATTAATTCATTTCCTCTTTAAGGGCTTCTGTCATCTTCATACGATTGACATTAAGTCACTTTCTTGTGTGTCAGCCATTTTGGAATATCCAGGACTTACTGCACTAGGATAGCTGGGCTCTGGTGGCATCACATTGACCTGGCTGCTGTTGACTGTATTCTCACGCTAACTTCTAGGCTTCTGAATTCATGTTATTACAGTTTAAGGTGTAATTTCTGAGTTTATCTTTGTTAGATGGATATTTTTCTCCATTGGTTTTTCTGTTTTCTCTTTGGTCTTCTGGCCTAAATGGCCTGGTATTCTGGTGACCAGCTAATCTTCAAGTTTAGTAGGGTGTCTCCACTGGGATTTTGTAGCCTATGAGACCTCTGGGGGTTTGAGTTCTGCATTGCCTCTGGGGTTCCAAGTGCCTCTGTGGCCTCTGGGATTCTGAGTGCTTGGTTGGTTTCTGGAATCTTTAGTAGAGCCTGGCCTCCAGTAAAGAGGAAGTCTTCTGACAAAGTTGTGATCTGGAACATGGAGCCCAGGGGAAGGTTGCAGTTGGAAATTGTTGAGAGGCTTTATGGAGTGCTAGCAGATGGTGGACAGTGTCTTACCTGGGGTCCCTAGAATGGGCCTGGTGTCTAGTAAAGCAGCTGGAGTTGTGGGCTGGAATAGCCCAGAGCAGGGGGGTGGCGGTCAAAGAATTCTTTACAACTAGTTAGACCAGTTCATGTCCCAATTCATTGCAAAGCCTGAAAGGTCAGAGTGATAATTTAATATTCATTTTACTATTTGTTTGTGATTTCCTCTACTGTTAGAGCTAAGTGTAGAGACATGTTAATATTTCAACATCATTTTAAAGTTTGTAGAAGAATCATAATTCATGCCTTTTTTCCTGTTTTCTACAAGAGTTTTAAAGACAAAGTAGTCAGAGGTTCTTCCCTTACAAGTTTTAAATTTCCATTACTTAATGATGGCAGGTAAATGAGAAAGCCCTGACAGCTTCCCATTTCTTCTGATGTTTTGCCATTCCAGTGTGATCGATGCTCCCCTCTTTATAATGACAAGCCTTTCCGCAGTGGTGACAATGCTCATGCATTCAACTGTAAGCCTTGTCAGTGTCATGGCCATGCCAGCAGCTGCCATTATGATGCTTCCATGGACCCGTTTCCCCTGGAGCACAACAGAGGCGGTGGAGGAGTCTGTGATGACTGTCAGCATCACACAACAGGTAATCCCAAGTCCTGAGTGGCTCGCTTAGCCTGTGGAGCCATGGGCATCTATCTCCAGATGCAGGATATTTTAAGTTATGACACAGTTACCTTAATTAGGAATGAACTTTCATGCTGTTAAGTTGGGGAACAAAGTTGTTTCATCAAACTTCTCTTATTCAGAAATAGTCCTTCATCATGTGTTTGAAAGAAGATGTTAATACAAAAGGGTTCACATCAGTGACTGAACCTGCAATTCATATAGGATAGCCTAGTTCAGCTTGATATATCCATCCAGAAACTTACTTGTACCGCTTATATTTCTGTCTTCCTTGGGTCTGGTTTTCGCACATGGATGTGCTACCTTCACTCAGAGTTTACACAGAAACCAATCATCTTTTGAAGACATTACAAATACACAGACCAACACAATGGTTCATAGGAAACAGAACTCACTCAAGAGCCTGGCAATCTGAGGTGGATTCCCAGAACCTACAAGGTGGAAAAGAAGGAATGACTCCTGCAAGTTGTCCTTGGACCTCCTCAGGCACCCATGGTGCACACACTCTACATACACACACACACACACACACACACACGTACACATACACATACACAATGTAATGAAGGTTATAAATACAGAAGGTGATAAATATTCTCTGTAGATTCAATGATAACAAGTGATTTCTAGTAGTCATTAAAGTCACTATTTTCTGAAGAGCAGTATTAACATTAAAGTAGAAACAAGCAGTTTGAGTGTCTGTGGAATATAATGCAACTCTAATAGACCCAAACGAGTTACCCAAGAGCATGAGTGAATGAGTTAGGTAAGACTGATGATACATAACAGCATGAGATGAAGCCCAGGGACCTAAGCCATGACTGTTTGTGTTCCTGGGCTTCTCCTGCAAGAGCAGTCTCTATGGAGAGAAACACGCTGAGGCACCATCAGCAATGTGAACGGCAACATTCTAGAAATGTTAAGAATTTATTTAACTTTTAGCTCATCAGAAGCTAATATCACTCAAACTGAAAATTTTAGTTGAGTATTTAGTTTTCTGACATTGAGTCTATTTCCAGGAATGTCAGAAAAGGGTATATGGTTTTTAACAGGGAAATTGATAAAGTGAAGGTTTATTTCAGGCTCTTTCTGTGGCTTTAGCACTGTCCACACTGGCTCTGGAAATTACTCGCAGCATAGGAATTTATTCATTTTATTTTATTAATTTATTCATATTTATAATATATATCTTATACTATTTCTATTTTATATATTTATTATTTTATAATTTTTATATATTTTATTTATTTATTATTTTATTCATAACAATGGCCAGAGGAAAGGTCTACTTCATAAACTGAAAGCCTTAGGAACTACATTACATTGAGTATTATACCAGTGAATATATTGAAACTATACTGAATGTAAGATTTATCTGGTATGTATAAATACAGCACATTTCTTTATTCTGACACTTGAAGTAAAAAAAAAATGACAAATGTACTAAAAAGTCAGGTTAACTGCACAACAACTATTATGTTAAGAGCATTTTCCATTTTTCACAATTTACTTCTGAAACATATATTTTTGTACATTTTTTGTACCTGTGTAATCGTGTATATATGTTGATCTGAATATATATATATATATATATATATATATATGGAGGCCAAAATTCCTATCAAGCGTCTTTGTATTCCACCTTCTCTCTCTCTCTACCTGGCTAAATTGGCAGATCAATGGGCCCCAGGGATCTATCTGTCACTGGGTGACTGGTCTGTGCTGTCTGTGGGCCTGGCTATTTTTGTGTGTGCTGAGTATTGGATTCAAGTCCTCCTGTGCACACGGCAAGTGTCTTACCAACTGTGTGAGCTCCTTGGCTCTCAACAAACATTCGTGACACAGAGTGCCTTTGTCTTTCCTTTTCTGTAGATGTCATCGGTCATATGTGTAGCAATTTCTCATATTTTGCTTTAGAAATAAGTGCCTGGCCATGAAAAGGCAATTTTAAGTTTAGAAGAAGATTCCTTTAAAATGCTCCCCGACAAAGCAAAACTTCTCAGAAGTGTGGTCCTGCATAGCAGATGGGCGTTTAATGAAGTAAAGCACCATTTGGAACAGGTTCACCATTTCATATGCTCCGGATCACTAAATTGGCAGGTAGAGATGAAAGGTACATTAAAATGGACATCCCCAAAATTACAGAATTTCCTCAAAGGAATACAGTCTTCAATCTTGAATTATGTGGCCGATTGTAATGAATTATGAGTTCTAATGCATATCCTGTCCTTATTCAGGGAGAAATTGTGAGTCATGCCAGGATTACTTTTACCGACCCTTTGGTGTGGATCCTGCTGCCCTGGATGTTTGCAAGCGCTGTGACTGTAACAGGGCCGGGACTAGAAACGGCAGCCTCCTTTGTGACCCGGTGAGTTACTTCACAGGAAATAAGGAATGGCTCTCCTACTAGAGATCAGTCTAGGACACTCTCCCAGAGTCTCCAGTCTGTATTTTCCAGGAAGTTTTGAGTTGGCCTTGAAGAGACAACTGAGGTAGATAGGACTTCGAGTTGTGTCCGTCATAAACCTTAACTGGCTGCTGTGTGGCAAGAAAATTCTAAAGTGAAAGATTCATTTTAGTTTTCATTTTGTAAATGTCAAAAAGAATTGGTGAGTACAATTCTAATCAAACTGCAAGGCAGGGAAGTAATTTTTTTTAAAAAAAAAATTATAAATAAGACACTTTAATCCCAAAGCCAGGCTAGTCCTGTAAAAGTCAGTTGTCTGAAGACTCAAACGGAAGTCATGTTTCTCTACTTCTAAATTCCTCCCTGCCTAATAGTTTGAAAATGAGATATATGTTTATATTCTTAAAAAAAAATGCTTGTTATCTATGTGACAAATTTTCATGTCTGACTTATGGGCGTGTGGATCTTCACTAAGCTGAGCTGCTAACTGAAGCAACCAGTGGCTTCGTGTTCAAATCTGTGGTCATTATCTATCTAGTTTGGTCTTTGTTTCCCTCATATCCAAAAATGACTTAAGATAAAGAAAACTTGTCTCAAAGACCAACTCAATGACTGTATTAATTTTAACAAGTATGTGTAACTTTGGATAGTTGAGAACACAACGGTTAGCACAAGCCCAGTTGTAGAACATTTTATAAATTGCATTGTAAATGTAATAAATTCAAGATACGTGTGTCATATAACTTTCAGCAAACCCTGAGCAGGGATTTTCAAAACAAGTTAAGTTGTCAATTTACTGAAATCTAAGAATTTGGAAGGCAAACTCACCAGTTTGAGTCCACCCAGCCACGGCTGGATAGCAAACAGGAAGGCAGCCTATGCTATATAGTATAAAACTTGTTTCAAGTCAGTTTCTCAAGCAGGAATGATAGAGTAAATAAAGCCAGATTAAAGCAGATTAAAGACGTGGAGGGTCGTCAAAGTGTGGTAATGACAGGAGGCCATGTTCACAGAAATATTCAAAACTGAAAGGCTAATGAGGTCTTCCCCCTGGTTATTTGATACTATTGAGAACTTTGTTATCTGATGCAGGAGGCTGAACCCAAGGTCCTGCCAGGTGAGATGATGCTTTCTCACAGAGCCACATCCCTGCCTTCAGTGTACAATTTTCACACAGTTCTTTATAAAACCAGACCTCATTTTCATAATGCTCATCCTATACACCTCATGTCTTTGTGTTTGAAGTCTGTGTTGGCTTATCCAGGTTCTCAACTGGACATACCTAGGAAGAAGGAACCTTAATGGAATAGAGCTCCAGACTGCCTTGTAGGCATGTCTATGGGTATTTTTGTGATTTCTAATTGATAGAGGAGAACGCAGCCCATGGTGAGAAGTAACATCGTAACATCCCTAGACAGGTGGGCCTAGGCTTTATAAGAAAGGCAGCTGAATATGAACCTAGCAGTGAGCTGGTAGCAGCAGTCCTCCATGGTCTCTGCTTCAGCTCCTGCCTTCAGGTTTCTGCCTGGAGTATTCCTATAATGAACCCCCACAGCTGTGCATAAGCCATCGTACATACACACACACACACACACACACACACACACACAGAGTCATACACACACACACACAGTCATACACATACTTACACATATAAATTCACACACACCACACACAAACACACACATACTCACAAAGACACTCTCACACACATACAGAAACTCATACATACATAGACACCAAACACCACATGTACACATTTAGTCAAATAGTCATAATACACATATTCACACACATATTCACACACACATACACATATACCACACGCCACACACAAAACCAGACACTCAGACATATAAAATACATGCACACCAAACACCACACACACACACTCACATATTTACACACACAAATTCACACACACCATATACCACACACAAACACAAACTCACACAGATACTAACACACACTCACACACACATACATACACACATCAAACATCACACACACAATCATATACATATTTACACACACACATTCACACATACCATATACCACATAATAAAAAATTCACACTTATACACACATTCACATATACACACATATATATTTATACGTACACACACATCAAATACCACACATATGTACTCATAGACACTCACACCGACACACTCATACATACACACAGATGCTCAGACACACTCACACATACACACAGTCACATAAACACACACATGCTATACACCATATATACACACACCATCATGCTCACTCAAATACACGCAAACACATATAGTCACATAGACGCATACACCATATATACAGTCACACAGACACATTCACACACATACTTTCACACACAGACACACACACACACAGACATACACACACACACACACACATGGAAAATCTGGTTCCTACCTTCTTACAGTGTCTACATCTTGTAGATTTCATGTAAACAATCATTGTCTGTTCTAATGTCCTGAACTGGATGCATGGCTTTCTTCTAACAACTCTAGGTACACATCAGTGTGTGTAATTTAGATCCATGATCAGGTATGTAATTTAAAGCTATTCCAATATTTAGGTAAGAGTCATGAGTGCACACAAGCTGTATTCATACATTTAATAAAAAGAAAAAGAAACAGTGAGAAATGCATAAATGCAAGGTAATAACGTCCTTCTGTCTACTTCCGGTCAACATTTTCCTGCTGAGTTCAGACAATGTAAATTAGACCAAAAACAAAGTAAAGGGATTTGAATTAGAAATGTCTCCATGTGTACATAACATATTGCTTAAAATTTACATTAAAAGATATTAAGGGGAGTATAGAAGCAAACATCCAGCAACTCACAGCTAGGCAAATAAAGGTGTGAATTCCAGATAACTGAGGTTACCTCACAAAGCCTGTCTCCAACAAACACACAAGCAAACAAAACAGCAACAACTATTATAAAAAAATACACATTTTCAAGATTTAAGACAAATACAGAAAAATCAGATATAATCGTACATGGCAGCAACAGTATGAAATTATTATTAAGACTATCATAGGAAACATTTTGAGGGTAAAATATTCAGGAACGAATTTAGTAAAAAATTTGCAAAGTTTACATTTTGTAAACTATGAAGCATGGTTGAACTCAATGAAAGACTCAACTAAATAGGATGCTCCTGTGTCAGATGATGTAATGTTTTAAAATCAGAATCATTCCTCACACTGGCCTGTTGATTCAAGACAATTTCCATATAAAATACTACTTATACATAAATATAAATACAAAAGCTCCTTTTGAGATCAGAGCAATATGATGCAAAATTAAATTTTTTTCAAAGGACATATCCAAAACAGTCATAAAAAGCAGTAGAGAGTTAGATTGTCCTTACTTCCTGAGTTTAAACTGTATTAAGGGTAGAGAGCTGTGCTAGAAGCAAGAACCCGTAAAGTAGCCAAAAGTCAGATTACAATAGCATCTGACATTTTGTGGCATAAACCACTAATTTGTTAATAATAGGTTGTATTATTTCTCAACAAATTCCAAGAACATATGGAATGTGTTCAACATGTAGAATATTCTACAACTGTGAAATCTAGGTGGAATTTGCTCCAGTTAGCACAGTGACATATTTTGCGTGCACAAAAAGGTCCGAGTATTAGTTTGAAAGCTGAGTGAGGTAGATTTAAACCTGGCAGAGAGAAGAGCCCAAGATGATGCTGTCTGAAATGGGAGTCCTGGAGAGGCAAAGACCATGACTACACTGTTTCCCCTTAAAGCCACTCAGTGGATCAACATTGTGGGGAACAACAGTGTGTGGGACTCTCTCAGGCTCTTTCTGTCTTGGATGCTCAAAAGGATGAACAGTGTCATCATCCACCATGGCTTCCTGTGAAGATCAGAATTTTCTCTCTTACATACCTCTTAGAGATTGCCATGCGAAGTCTGGAAGTTCAGAGGAAAGAACTTTCTTAGAAATGTGGTTTTGGAGAAGGAAGGACACCATAAAAACACACCAGGCTGGCAAATAGCCTACACTGTAAACTGGAAAAGAGAAGGCATGCCTGTCTCCTCTTGTGGATTTTTCTCTTCTCAAATGAGTATTTTCAACATCCGAACAAGGCAACAGTGTAGCCACAAAATACTTGCGTGGAAACAAGTGTTATGATGTATGTTCTTCACCAATGTTTTCCCATGACATTTGTATGTAACAAAAGTACATACCTGTATTTATTTTGAAGTCAAGTGAGTATCTTAAGCAGGTGGCCTGTTGTACGAATGCCAGGAACTTAAAGAAAGAAGTCCCTATCTTTACTCTGGGAATATGTGGTCACACCTAAGACAGATAGTATATGCAGGATCATACCAACTCCTGGCAGGTGGAAACACTATAGACAGGTAGAGAGACATAAACATCAGGAGAATGTTATGGCACTTCATAAAAATTCTCTCTCTCTTTCTCAGTAGGACTGAGGTCAGAAGTCATCAGTAGATGACACTTGTCAACCTCCATAACTGTTTTATACTTTGGAAACAGGGTCTCTCTCTCTCTCTCT